GAATTTTAAGTTATTTCGATTATTTAGTGCTAAACAATTAATTATAATTAGAAGAATGAACTTCGTTTTTGACTTTGAATATAAAGCATACGGCGCGCGGGCTACAAGCCAATTCATTATCCCATTGGAACTAGCGGAAAAATTGATTTAAAAATAGAAATGGTACAGCAATAATGTCATAAAAATTAGTAAGGTATATAATTCCGTTTTACACTTCTTTTGCAATATTTTCTCTCCTACTACTATCATTTTTATGGAATTGGCCCATTTATCAACAATAATACAAAATCACTTTCGTCCATGAATTCAAACGAAAAACTTTTAATCTCCCTTTTCATAAAAGAGAGAGATTATACATGGTTATCTCGGCAAATTTTTTTTAAGTCCGAAAATCCAAGCATTTGCAAATAAATAATTTTTTAACATTAAACAAAGCAATAAGTCAAACGCGTGAAAATACCATCGACCTAGCGTAGAAGCCTGAGTATGCATCCGTTTATGTTGTATGATTGAGTACTGCCAGTTACTAACTTTTACCTAAACCTAAAATAAATTATTATTTTTCATTATAAATTAATAGCCACTCCTTTTAACATACAGGCATTTTACAATATACTATTCTTTCTTTTAAATAGCGCAAAAGAATGATGCAGGAGCAGAAATTTCGCAAAATCGCACAGACATAAATTTTAATAGCACAGTTTGCCAAAAGTTAGCACATTCGCGAAATATCAAGCGATCTGGCAAACATTGTGTTCAAATCTTGTCAAACTCCACTGCCTTGTTACGAAAACATCTTGACTGTGCTACGCTACACCGTCAGCTAAAGGCTCTGTTCCTCTCCTCACTGTGCATTGAATTGAAAATAGAAGAGTCCTTTTGCCCTGAACTAGGCATGGAGCTATTGTTGTCGTGGCTTATCTGACAGCCACATCAGAACAAGCCCACGAAATTTATCGTGGCAAGGAGTGCAATATTGCTGCCTTGCCACGATTGCTGCCTTGCCACGATTACTGCCTTGCTGTTGACAAGAGCCTTGAGCACCATACAGGTGACAGTACGACTTTACTTAGTTCCGTCATCAGTTTTGATGGAAAGTACCCCGCGGGGGGGATGAGTCCGAAGGTCTCCCATTCCTCTTCCCCTACCACCAACCAACCCCTCGAGAGGACTTTCAGCTCGCCATAAAGAGTGCCCTCATGCCGCGCAGACACCGAACATTTACAAATATTCATGCCTTCTCCGAGATTCAAAACCGGACCCTTCGGAACGGCAGTCAAAGTCGCTAACCACTATTCCGGCTGGGCGGCAATCCTACCATGAATGTTGATATGGTACTTAATCATCAGTTAATCATTAATTTAGCATCCTACAGCGCATTCTCTTTACGTGCTTCATTATTTTGTGCGAACAAAGTCCGAAATCTTTTGAGAGTAATTTTAAATATTGTTAAACTAGACAATCTTACAGGTTTATACAGCATATGAAATAGGAAAGTGCAACTCATCAAATTTAAATGCAAATAGCGTTTTTCCAACTCGGAATGCTCCAACCACTTTTAGACGAATTTTACATAAATAACTTTTATGAAACATCTTTTTTAATAATTCGGTAATAGTTTTTCTTTTTTTTTTTAATTTTATTCTTTTCTTTTCTTTTCTTTCTTTCTTTCTTTTTTTTTCTTTTTTTTTTTCTTTTTTTTTTAATGCAAGAATAAATTTGTTCAAACTACAATACGTTTTAGATCTACAAATACAATACATTATCTAATAGAAAGAGAAACACGCCAATACTGGTATCGAACTATTCGCAATGAATCTGAGTTTAGCATCACCGTAACATTTTTTTCTGCTTGTTTGCCTCCCCATTCTAAATCATGTCACCCTGCTAAATAAAAAATGAGACACATTCGCCGAAGTGCTCAGTTTTGCGTGTACCATCTGAGCTATTTTCCGATTTTTTCCAATTAAAACAAATGTTTTATTGTTTCTGTAATTACCAGAATTCTGTTAACAGAAACATTTATGTCTATCGCACTATCGAAATTCGTGCTTCAGAGTCTTAACTTTATTAGGACGTAAAGCTTTTAATTTTTAAATTAAAGTCTCGCTTATGTAACTGATGCTGATTCATTTCAACACAATATGGCATTTAGTTAGCTCCATTGTTCTTTACAATGAAAAACATATAACAGAAAAATCCAGAAATCAAGAATTTTTTCAAATTTTTAAGTTGTTATTTTCTTTAAAGCAAGAGAAATGAATAGACTACACCACTTGTGCCGAAGAACTGAAATTCCAGACGTTCTTTCAAACATCTGCAAAGGGAATTTCATCTCATGAAGAGCGTTTAAAATTTCATGAAAAATATTTCTCGAACAGAGGTTCCATTCAGCAAATGACCCGACCATGACTAATTTTCTAAACTAGGTGATAAGAATAACTAAAACTTCATACTTCCTGAATCCGATTTGTCGTTTCGAAAAACCTCGATCAAAAATATACTTTTTTTATATATAGTTGAAGATGTCTTATTAAATGGATGCTTCATTGCAATAGAGTTGGCCACATTGCATCTTTAGGCTTCACCAGAAAGTGTTATATTTACGCAAAATCTTTGTATTAAGAATAGTGAAAGAAATAATTTATAATAAACGAGTAAGAACTTTGCAGAGTTTATGAAAACTACATCAGAACTATTTTCATCAATTTGCTTCTAAATACGGATTTAGATCCCTGTTTCTGAATACCTCAATAAGTATTTTACTGAAAAATCTTCGATTGGCCTATTATACCAAGCTTTTAATTCATAGTATTTTTCGTGATATCGTAGGCAATCAGCATTATTTTGATGTAATGTCCTTCAGGTTCATTTGCAAAATTCTCATTTTTGTTAAACTAATTTAACAATTTATATAAAAGTATGAGAAATATAAAATGTTGAAAGAATTAAAAAAAGAATTAAATTTAAAAGAAAAAGAAAAAAGAAAGAATAGAAATTAAGAAAAAAGTTTAAAAGAAAGAATGGAAGTGTAAAGACCAATGTCGCATCTCTCTTCAGATGCATACAGCTTATTATTTTTGTTTAATTTTTATAAATATAATGTAGAACTTTGTGTAATCCTAAATTCTTTGGGCTTATGTTACAGCTATTGTTAAGCGAAGTTAAATAAAGTGTTTTCTCCTTACATATTAAATTTTCAAAATGAAATGCGCATTTTATTATAATTACACAAGGTAATGTTTTCTAATTATTCGTTTGCGACATTTTCGAATGGAAGTATACACGTCGTGCTAGTCAGATTCTACGCAAAATCCTATTTATTTACAACGAAACCATTAATGCAGCTTATTCTAAGACACTGATGCCAAAATTCTGAACTATGTACACAACGCATGGTTTACTCCTTCCAATCAAGATGTGTTGCCAAAATGATCAACATAAATTAATAACCCATTTTATATTCTCTGCTATATGATATATTCAGCAATTTTACCATGAAAATAAATTTTCCAACATTTTAGTATCGTCATTTTGGATCTCTGAGTGGCATTAATCTAGAATGCAAAAAAAGCTAGCTCTACATCATATCTTCCCAAATCAACATTTTCTGTAACAAAAACATTGAAATCAAGAACAAAAACAGAATTCAAGAAAATTTCATCTTCAAGAAAGTTGACTATTGATCCATATTTATAAGACTATGGGAATGCACCAAGATTATGGATTCTATGCAGTCGACTAAGCTTAGATATCAAACCAATAAGTTTTTAATATAGTACTATTTTAACAATATCACAAAAGGATTTGTTAAGGTGTTTTGCGCTCTCGCTGAGCTCGCAGTCTACCAGTCTGCTGTTGAACTCACTCTTACCAGCTTTATTATTAAGCACCCTTTTCTTCGCACTTATGCCATATACAATTCAACAGCAAAATTACAAAAATTGTAAAAGCAGCATAGCAGTATATGTTTGGAATTCCCGAGTGTTGGCATACGTTTTTCTATTTTATTTTCAGTTTCTCTCAATTCATCATATTAAAGGTTAGTTTTCTTAGAAAGATGGTTTACAAAACGTTTTAGCCCAAAGGGGCAATTTTGTTCGGAAGGGCTATTGATTTCGTTTTGCAATTTACGTTGAAAACTTAAATGAGTTGAATCACTTTTCAAATTTCGTCAAGCAAGTATTATCACACTGTAAATAGTGAAGAATCTGCATAAATATATGAATGTTTCTCGCACTATGATAAAACAACGGTATCTAGAGCCATCAAATTTTGAATAACGTAATCCTCCACCCGAATATGAGCTTCTGGAAGCCCAAATTTGGAATTTGGAGTTTATTGTATTGTTTCATAATTTTGTAAAGCATTTACGAGTTTTGATTAAGAAACTCAACGATTTCAAACCCATCAATGGCAACACTGTACAGAAAAAAAAAAAAAAATTATCTCCAGCGCGCGAGAATGTGCATCGGAAATTTCAAAGATATGCTCTTTTTAAATTACTTTGGACGTAATTTTAAATCTGAAACTTTTTTTTTTTTTTTTTGTTTGTTGTTTATGCTCACTTGTCTCACGTAGTCAGCCCAAGCCCACGAAATTCCTCGTGGCAAGGAGCGCAAGAATACGCCTGCCGTTGGCAACAGCCTTGAGCATCATTCAGGTGACAGTGCAATTTAGCTCAATTCCGCCCCCCAGTTTTGACGCAGAGCACACCGATGGGATGAAACCATAATTACAGTTAATCCAAATCACTATATTGCAAAATCATTTTATTCAGTTAATTGTGTCATCAATCGAAAAAAATGTTGGGGAAGTCAGCATTAAAAGAATCTAAGTACATAAAATTATAAATAAAGCAGATCTATCATCTCTGTTATAGATTATACTCATTCACAAAAGATATTGCTTCTCAAAATTTTCTAGTGCGCTATTAAAACTGAAACTTTTATACTTTCTACACTTCTTCACAATATCAGATGCTAAGCTACATCACTTACCGATGGCCTCTTCCATTTTATTCCTGCAGGGCAGATGCGGCTGAAGAAAATGGAAGAGTCGATGGCTGGAAAATCCGGATCCTCAAAGAGAGTGCCAGTGCTCAGGCACCTCTCTCGAATCTGCTGGAAGTCCTGAACTTCACCTCGTGGACGAAAGCCAGAGCCCCTCTCGCCATACTGCAAAGGAAAAATATAAGGCATTACATCGAATCGTAACATACGCACAGGTGAACAGTCTTCATATTAGAATTAAATAATACTGCACACTCGTTGAAAATATATTAAGTTAAAATTGACTTATATACTACACAACGAGACTATATCTAAATATTTTTAAACATTAACTATCAGCCCATACCCTACAAAACAGGGCTTAACAAATGGACCCACATTTAGATGTATTTAATGCTACCAATTCAGTAACGCGCACTCGAAGAGGATACGTGCAATCTAATAATAAGTTTGTCATAGTTGTTCTTCCAAGCGCTGTAGCTGAGAGATTCCATCTGCATAAGCTGATCAGCCTAAATGTTAAATAGTGTTAAGTGAGAATATCGTAAATTCTCTAGGCATGCAACTTAAAGCATCTTACATGCTAGCAAATCACCCTTATAAAGCATAATATACATGGCACTCTTCATGCCCATACACCATCACTTTTCATACATCGAAAGCTTACTAAAGAAACTATAATTTTCATTTTCATAAAATACACAATGTCGGTTTCATGGTTTGATAAATCGTCAAACGTTAAGACCAGACAGGAACTTGACCAGGAGTGAAACAAAATTTTTAAGCCCAGTTTTCCACAAGTCTTGATATGCTTTCCCCAATTTTCTGAATACAAATGTATACAATGGTGATTGATATGGGCTGACAACTTATATTTAAATATTCAGAGTACTAGAGTGAAAGCCAGCATTGAAATAACACAAATTGATACGGCTCCATGTTTTACAACGTTTAACGGAGCATAAGGCTTTATGATACATATAAATATCTTTCTGTCAGCTTCATTCAAATGTCACTTATCTGGTATTTTTGATGTGATATGTGCTGTTTTAAAAGATGTTCCATGAGGCATTTTCTTATGACGAAGATCGGGCTTTTCGATCCATGGCAAACGTACCTACATGCTTATACAGGAATATGCTAATTTGGAACACTGATGGCATATTGCAGCATTTTCCAAACCGTTTCCCGTGAAAACTGGAGTTCTGCAAACAAACACTAGGTGTTCAGTGAAAAATTACAAGACTGAGGTTAACGAAACATTGTCTGTTTTCATATATTTAATACAATTTAAATTGATTCTTAAAAGAAATTTGATAAAAGAAATTTCATGAGAAAACATAAACCAAAGTGGTTTAAATCACGGATGTAATAAATTTAGTAATATAACATGACATCAGATGGTTCCGTTGCCAGTGAAATGCAAGAAATGCATTTCTGTTAGTTTGTGTTCTGCCCTCAGAAGAAGGGTGTCAATGTCACTTGACAGCGATTTTCGTTCACGAATGAAATATTATTGATATAAAAACCCTAAGTACATTAAAATGAATACAGAAAGGCTAGAGCAAAGATGCCAAGTAACCTTACTAATTATGCTGAGAACAAGAAAAAGAATAAATTATGAGGCTCTAAAAATAGCAATTAGGAATAATTTTCACATGCTATTATTTAAATAACAGTTAAAACTATTACATTTGGTTTTCAAGTTTTCCTCACGTGTAATGTAAATAGAACACAGTTTCTTCTAAGAAAATGAAAATATTCTTCCTTTATACTACATTCCATTAAACAAGTATAGGTACAAGCGCAAGTTGGAGGGACAGTAAAATTTCCCCATTGATTGCATAGGTTGACCCATTGACCCATTGGATTAACTATGCAGCGCTGCTCCAATTTTGATAGAGAGCAGCACCCCTAGAATACATCCAAGGGTCTCTTACCCCTCTTGTCTTACCACCAAAACTCTAGAGAAGTGCTTCCATGTCGCACAGACACTTGTACACTTACAAAAATCTATGCCTTTTCTGAGATTCGAATCCGAGTCCATCGGTACGGCAGCCAGCGGCGCTAACCAATCACGGCTGGCGGACGGCGTGCCCTTTCAATCATTCAGGATAATATAGCACTTCATGCACTGTGAAAAACACTGTAAATCCCACGTCTAAATCAAGAAAAACTGCAAGTGAATTTTTCACTTGCCAGATCGTTCACTTGTGATAACATTTCTTAATTTGCTGAAAATAATATATGATATTGACTGATACTGATACTGAAAACATACTGACGATGTTTAAATTAGAATCAACGGCACTGTAGATTACGCCCATATCACTCGGCGTTTGTTTCACACGAACAACTGTTTCGAGCAATTTTTCTGCCTGGTTTACTATTGAAAGTAAGACGTGCAACTTTTTCTTTCCTTTCCAAAAAAAATTGCAAGTTGTTCGTTTTTCAACCAATCAGCTATCAACTTGTTTGGGGTTAACACAGTTTTCCCTGTGTTAACCCCAAAGTGATCTATGGTGATTAGCTGTTGTGACAAAGCAGAAAAATTGTTTCAAACAGTTGTTCTTCAGAAATAAACCGACGTGTGATAGCAGCCTTTCATCATACTGCTTCAATAATTGAGTAAAAATTTTTTAAGTCGGCTTTATCCAGTTTAACACAAACGCACATCGAAAAGAGCTAAAAAGGTAAAGAAATATATATAAAATTACCTTACCACTACCATAGTCAAGAGTAGAATATCACCGGATTATTTGATTCTTATTGATAAAAGTACACATTCGCATGCGAACACTTTGTTACTGTAACAATGAGCTTTTACAACGCCATTTGTTCACAACTTCTCTACAAACACATCCTCACAAAATGAACTTTATCAAATGTTAAACATCGAGAAAGTTATTAATATTTACTCGACCGGCGATAACACTTTGTGCTCATTAATAACTCAGGCAAAAACAGTATTTGTGTAGCGTGTGTTTGTTTTGGATAAACGGAAACGGAAAATGATAACAACGGATTTGAATTTCCGCTCTCCATTCACCAGATGTTTGACGTCGATATTAGCATCATTTTATGAAATAAGGGATGATGTCAGTTACGAAAGAATTTTCAGATCTCACTTTAATTTTCAGTTTTAAAGATATGCAATCTCCTCCAAAGCGCTATAATTAATTCCAAAGTGAAAAATCTTAGTGTAACATACAGCAATATACTGTTACAGCTATAGAATCTTACTCTTGATGTTTGTCATTTATGTCATCGATTGTTAAACTACTTCCTCGTAAGCTAACAAGTTCAACTTTTGGACACACATTGTTTGTGAATAGCAAACCTTAAATGTCCTTTTCACTTTTCAAATTCTTGCGACCAAATATTGTCAACCTGTGTTATATTTAAAGAAATTAAATAATGAAAAATCTGCATGAATGTATGTATGTTTCTCGCATTGGGATAAAGCAACGATGTCTAAAGATATCCAATTTTGAATGACGTAATCCTACTGCGAATATGGGCAGTTGGAAGCACAAATTTGAAATTTGGAATTTGTTTTATTATCGATTTAATATTTTGTAAAACTTTTGTAGAAACATTAGGCATTTTTGGGCAGCCGGAAAGATGAAAAATGAGCAACGCCTTCGCTGGGAATCAAACCACGGGCCTCTGGAATACGCGCCCAGAGTGCGGACCATTATTGCACGAAGGCACTCTAAGAAAGCGGGAGAAATACCTTATGCCTTAATGAATTTTTGATTAACAAGCTCAAGGATTTCAAAGCGAGCAGTGGCAACGTTGTACAGAAAAAACATTTTTATTTCCAGCGTATGAGACTGTGTATCGGAAGTTATAAAGATATGCTCAATTTAAAATTACTTTACGATATTGCTCTTGAACTGAGTTTTATGGTTCAAGTGCGAAGAACATGATATTTAATAAATAAAGGTAACACACAAAACGTTAAAAAAACACCTCATTGGACGTAATTTAATACCTGAAACCTTTCAGATTTTTTTTTTTTTTTTTTTATTTTTTTTATTTAACATTTTATAATTATGTTTGGTGTGTATTGGTATCTTTGTATTACACACAGTGGCCTAATTTTAACTCAGTTCTTGTTAATAGTTTTTTACGTATAAGTGCAAGTAATTGTTTCTTTTGTGAAAATTGCCCAATTCGATTTTTATTATTTTATCATTCTAAGCATGAAAACACTTGTTTTGCTATTACGTCATCGGTCTATTGCATAAACTATAGCATGTAACATTTCCTGTAGTCTTTTATCATTTCAAACTCACACACAAGCAAACAATAACAAAACAAAAATAAAGAACCCGCTATATTAAGCAAAATACAACGAGTAACAGCCGGCCTACGAATAACACTGACGTCGTATCTGCTTTTTGAGTCCTGAGAATTTGGCTTGCAGAATGGCATAAACAGAAATCATATAAGTTCCCTTTTTTTTTCGTTCATGAAGTCAACTGACAAACTCCATCCAATGCCGCTCTTTTCAATCCGTTCTTTCCTTTTAACGCATTGAAAGTAAAGCAAATTTTCAATGCAAAGGAATTATATACTCAGATTTTATAAAAAATCAAGAAATTAAAACTTGAAAAATTAAATGTCTATGTCATTTTTTATTTAAGAAATATAACTCTTAATAAAAGCAGTGGTTATGGTGTTCGAAAAGGATGGTTATGGCCATATTTCTTCAAATATCCTAGACATGTATTCCCAAGCGCAGAATTTCTGAAAATGACGGGGAAGATTTTATAGAAATAGTTGCAGCATTGAGTGGTTGGAAAGTCTGTAAATACAAAAATTACAATTTTAAATTAGTAAAATTAAAATTTCAGTTTCAAAAGTATTTATCAGCCTTTAATAAAAGAGCAGACTTCCCAAAATTTCAGGTGCGAAATTTGAAGACATACTGAAGAACGAATTCAATACTAGGGACTTATGCAATTTTAGGAAGTTACGAAAGATATCTCGTTTGGAGAATAATGTTTCACCCACAGCATTTTTAAAATTATGGAATTTGTAAATTTAAAAAAATTAATTAAAAAATTTTATTTTACTTTAAAAAAAATATATTTTTAAAGCTATATTTAAAATTTTAAATTACAAATCAAAGTTAACATTTATTTAAATGTTAAAAA